CCTAGAAGGAGGGGTACCGAGAGCCGGAATGAAGCTGCGCGGTGCAGACCACCCAGGACCTGCCGTCACCTGTCCCCACTTACATGTCCCCTGGACTCCTGCAGACACCGTGGGTGGCCATTCATCCCCCTACATAAGTAGGTACCTAATGTTTTTTAATAAGACATTTGATACTTTTTATTATCGTGGTAAAATACACACAACACAAAATCAACCATTTTTTAAGTGTACAGTTCAGTGGCATTAAGTACATTCACCATGTTGTACAGCCATCATCATTACCTAGTTCCAGAATCTTCCGTCACCCCAGGTGGAAACGCTGCATCCATTAAGCAGTCGCTCCCTCTTCCTCCTCAGCCCCTGGCAACCACTGACCTGCTTTCTGTCTTTAGGGATGTGCCTATTCTGGACACTTCCTATAAATAGAATGCAAAGGAAAAAACTTTGGTTTTACTTTACATTGCTTACAACACTTTACTCACAATATTTCCCTTCTGACACTTCTGGTCCCTCAACGTGTGGGTGTTTTCCCCACACCAAGCAATTCTGCAACACCAGCTGGTACCCTGCAATGTAACGCCGTCCTGACCCCATCTACCAGGAGACAGCATCAGACCCCCCAGGCGAAGGGCTCAGCCACAGGCTGTCCTGTTCTCCAGTGCCAATGGCACCATCACCTGTGCTACCGCTGCCATAGACTGACCCTCCCCTCAGGTCCCATGAATTTGCTAGCGCAGCTCACAGAACTCAGGAAAACATTTAACTTATTAGATTTCATTATTATTAAAAGAACAGTTTATTACAAGAACAGAACTCAGGGACATCCAGAAGGAAGAGATGTGCAGGGCAAGGTGTGTGGGAGGGGGTGTGGAGCGGCCATGCCCCGGGCGTGCCCCAGCACCTACGCGCGCCCACCAACCCGGAAGCTCGGACCCTGTCTGTGTGGGGTTTTATGGAGGTACCACTGCGTAGGCACGACTGATCAAAGTCCCAACCCTGTAGTCACGGGCAGTTCCTCTAGCAACCAGCCCCAGTCCCCAAACTCTCCTCATTAACATAAAATCAGGTGCCATTGAAAGGAGCTTGTTAAGAATTAATTCCAAAGGACACCGGTGTCTCTCTCATCTCCTAGGAAATTCCAAGGTTTTTGAGAGCTCTGTACCAGGAATGGGAGGAACACCAGATTTCTGTTTCTTATTATAAATCACAAAACCACATGGAATCACACAATCTGTGGCCTTTTGTGTCTGGCTTGTTTCACAACCTAATGTTTTCAAGGGCCATCCGTGTTGTAGCGTGCGTCGGTACTTCATTTCTTTTTATGGCTGAATAATATTCCACATTCTGTTTATTCACTTGCTGAATTTCCTAATTATCTTTAACAGTTTTTCTGGAGTTTTCAGGATTGTCCATGTATAAGATCACATCACCTGTGAACAGAAGTAGCTTTACTTCTCTCTTTCCAAGGTGGAGACCCTTTATTTACTTTCTTGCCTAACTGCTCTGGCAGGAACTTCCAGTCCTACGTTGAATGTTAAGTGGTGAATCTGGCATCTTTGTCTTGTTCCTAATCTTGGGGCAATTAAAAATTTTTTTGACTTGGCTGTATTTTCTAATGTTCTTCAGTGTATGTGCACCACTTGCACACTTGTGCAATAAAAAAAGACGAATTTTTAAAAAGAAGTCAATGCCTAAAAATGTCTGGGTAAATTGAAAGCGCATTCTTCCCCCAGAGGGGAAAATAACTAGAAAGACTGTTTTTGTTGTCAAATTCATCAAGATAACAAACTAAAGTCAAGTATGATTTAAAAGTTTTAAAAGATGTGCAGCCCTCATTGGTGGTACACAAACCTGGTCAGACCTGGGCTGAGAGGATGGCAGTCAGCCCCACCCAGCAAGGGGAGCCCCAAATGGAGAGACTGAGCCCGACTGGCCTGAGGGTGGCTGACAGTGTCCGGCACCTGCACTCGGTTTCGGCTGCTGTGTCCTGCCCTCTGCTGCATGAACGGACAGCACGAGGGGCTGGGTGGGGCCGGAGTTTGGGGTGCATCACTCCAGGATGGGGCAGGTGAACAGAGACAGAAAAGGGCTGGACCCACCAAGGACACAGTGTAAATGACTGCATTTCTATATACGGAGCCACCAACAATTGAACAATTTCATCTGCAGCAATGAATGGACCTAGAGGTTATCGTACTAAGTGAAGTAAGTCAGATAAAGAAAAGTATCACATGATATCACTTACATGTGGAATCCAAAAAAATGAAGACTTAGAAAACAAATTTACGGTTACCAAAGGGGAAAGTGTGTGTGTGTGGGGATAAATCAGGAGATTAGGATGAACAGATACACACACTGCTATATATAAAATAGATAAACAACAAGGACCTACTGTAGAGCACACAGAACTGTACTCGTTATCTTGTAATAACCTATAATGGAAGAGAATGTAAAAAAAGAATATATATATTTACATATATATAACTGAATCACTTTGCTGTACCCCTGAAACAATGTAAATCAACTACAATTCAATTAAAAAAATAGAATAGAAAATAGTATATGTCACACCTAGGTTAAGCAAAAAATAAATAAATAAAATTAAAAAAGAAAAATTTAAAACATAATGGCATCAAAAACACAGAACAGGAATACAGCTAACAAAAGTTGTTTAAGACCTTTATTTACACTGAAAACAGCATGGCATTACTAAAATTAAAGATATAAAGAAACAGAGGTATATTAAGTTCATGTTTTTAAGACTCAACATTCTGAAGATATTTGTTCTCCCCAAACTGACCTATAAAGCCAATGAAGTTCCAATCACAACAATCCCTCCGCCAATTTTTCAGATAAAATTACACTGAGGTGCAGTTAAGAAAATGAGCAGCCATGCCCCAGGCTGGGAGAAAATGTGTGGGAAACAAGTATCTACAAAGACTAGCATCTGGGACACAGAGGGAATTCCTATCTACCCAACACAGGGATAAACAGCCCAATTTTATTTTATTTAATTAATTAACCAATTAATTTATTTTGGCCATGCCACATGGCTTGAGGGATCTTAGTTCCCTGACCAGGGATCGAACCTGTGCCCTCGGCAATGGAAGCGCCGAGTCTTAACCACTGGACCGCCAGGGAATTCCCAAACAGCCCAATTTTAAACAGGGCAAAACATGTGAGCAGAGACTTCCCAGGAAAGATACATAAATGGCCAGTAAGTATAGGAAAAGACACTCAATATCACTGTACATTAAGAAACACAAAATGAGATGGAACACATATTCACTAGAAAGTCTAAAATTATAAAAGACTGACAGTGCCGAATACTGGTGAGAATGTGGAGCAGCAGGAAGGCTTATGTGCTGTTGGCTGGAGGGTAAAATGGCACGCCTACATCGGAAAGCGGCTGGGCAGCTCTTGATAAAGTTGGACACTTACCGTAAGTTCCAGAAAGTGTGCTCATAGTTGTTCGCCCACGAGAAACGGAAACACGTGTACTTGTACACAAATGTCCACGGCGGCTTCATTCATAATAACCAGATTGAAAACAGCTCAAATGTCCCATCCACCAACAGGTGACAGGTGAACTGGCTGTGAGACCACGGAGTATCATCAGAAATAAAGAACAAATCCTGGTGACGCAACAACACGGATATTCCAAAACATCACCGAGTCAAAGAAGCCAGAAACAGAAGAGCGCATGCAGCAGTTCCAGAAGCAACCTGGCGTGTGAGACCAGACCTACGGCGCAGGAGACCAGGCCAGCGGCTGCCTCGGCAGGTGTGGGGACTGATGGGGAACTGGACGCACACGTCTGAAGAAAGTCATCCAGCCGTTCACTCAGCAGGTCCTTACTCTGTGTGAATTACATCTCAGTAAAGTTGATAAAAGGCAAGCAGGGTGGCTGTAACCCTTCTGGGGAAGCAGTGGCTAGGAGGGGCCCCAGGCAGACTTTTGGGGTGCTGGTGCTGTCCTGGCCCTGAGGCTGGGTGCCAGTGACATGAGTGTGCTCCTTTGTGAAAAATTCAGAAAGCTCAACGTTCGTGTGCCCTTTTCTCTACTTAAATTACTCTTTAATTAAAATACTGTTAAAATATATGGAGCTGGAGAAAGACAGAAGGTGAGGTTGTGAGCAGGCTCGTATTCACCTTCTTTACGGCTTCTCCTGGCCAACGTGGACAGGGTCGAACGCCTCAGTGGGTAGCTGTCGTCTGCAGAACGATGTGGCGGGGCCACGGATGGCCCTTCTGACGGCCCCGGGGCCACCAAGCCGGCCAGCCAACACCATCTGCTATCTGTCTCCACCCGTTCTCACAACCAAAATGCCCTTCCCTCTGACTTACAGGACGTTTCCAGACTTACCTGCAGTTCTTGGTACTGGAGGGAAAGTCAGAGCAGGAGGCAGAGGACATGCGCTGCGGCCGTGGCCCACAGCCCCGCAGCCGACCCCCTGGGAGCGTGTGAAGCGCTGCATCATCCACACCGCTCGTCTTATTTAACCTCACGGTCACCATCCTAAAGACGACGAAGCGGAGGCTGGAGAGCCCGAGAGAAACCCAGAAGGGCGACGTCCCCGAGCTTCTCTTCAGACGAAGAGGACGCCAGGCAGCCCAGAGGGGAGTGACTCAGCCGCACACGGGGACGTGCGTCTTCCTGCAGGACATGCTCGAGTCCCTCCACTGGGGGCTGCGCCCCGGCTCTTCTCCCTCCAGGTTCCCAGTGCTGCAGACCCCCATCCTGCACACCAGAGGCTTAGCGAGATGAGGGGGGGTCTGGGGTCTGTCCTGCTGCCGGTTCCCTTAAGAGAACAGGTTCCCCGAGGCTGGACAGGTGGCGGTGACACCAAGCCTGTGGAGGGAAGTCCTTCAGGGACAACATCACCCTAGCTCGGTTTCTGCATTTAACCGTGAAGATGCAACAAAAAGGTTAACTTATGAGGAGTGTTCTCGACTTGTCGACAAGACAAAGAATAAAAGAAACTAATCATTATCGAGAGCTTTCCTGTATGTTACTTTATCTGACAAGTCACCTGAGAAATTTCAATTGATCTGAAGGAACAGAACCAACAGAAAGGATATTACACCAAGCACTTTACTGGTAACACCTTTTTAATAGGTCAAAGTAACTGTACAGTTCATTATATTCTTCCTGAGAATAATTTATTTCCCCCAACAAACTAAAGAGAGGGCATATTTTTCAAAATTATTTAACAGAATGGATGGTAAAACTGGACACCAAAAGGAAACCAAATCTCTGTTTCGCCCAATTCCTTCCTGGGAAGACAGACGCAATGAAGGGTTAGTTAACTCCAGTGGCTGTGAAATAGTCAACATGGCTTTAATCTTTCTTTATAAATTATATAAAAATGGAAAACAGGGATGGTTCCAGAACTTCTTCTCAATGCGGTTCGGAGGTGCTCCGGTACAAAGCATTTCTGCTTCCAAGAGAAATAACAGCGCTACAAAAAACCGGCACATTATTCTGGTGGAAAAAGACAAAAGTTTTTAGTGTGTTCTACAGCTAGTTTCCAACCAAATGCTTCACATACTCACATGAAAGTAAAAGGCAGGAAAGACAAGAGGGTTGTAGTTTTTTTCTGAAATTACTCAAGTCTTCAAAATATAGCTTTTATATTCTTTCTTTGTAAAGTGGTATTAGCATATTGCAACTGAACAGTGTTCTAACGACAAAAATTCCAGCCTGGGTAGTAAGTCTGCGGTTGGCAAAGGGATTCTCAGCCCCTTGGGTTTCCTGGAATCCTCCACTTCCTCCTGTCTTCTTCCAAGGACCAGTCCGGCCAGTTCAGGAACCAGTGCATCACTGCCCTGGCCGCTTCCACGAAAGCATATCCTGTTGTGAACAAAATCTGTTCTTCACGATTCTTTAAAAGCTTCTCATGTACAATTTTTATTCTCAGAAAAATGCCACATTTTGGATCCCGGACTTTTCTGAACACCATGATTAAAGAACCAAAACCAAAACAACCCACATCAAAATGCGGTTAAACTTATATGAGATTTTCAACCAGCCTCGGCCAGAGCGTTGGCGCTGTGAGTGCTGGCGCCCGCGGCCGGCCGGAGCCTCGCTGCTGGTGGCGGCGGAGCGGGAGCAGGCCCCGGCGCTCAGTGCGGCCTCGTCTGCCCCAGGGCCTTCAGTCTGGCCTGGTCGATGACATCGAGCAGGTTCTTGGCGTCCACAGCCAGGGCGTGTGCGGCCGTCAGCATCTGCTTCTTGTACTCCTGCTGCAGGCTGGTCATGACATACTGCTGGGCCAGCTTCATCTTGCTGATGAGCTCCCCCAGGTCGGAGTTCAGCAGCTTCTGGGCCATCTCAATCTGCAAGGACACGGGGGTCAGGAGCGCCTCCTGCCGCCAACACTCGGGCGCTCCTGGGCGCTTTCCGCAGGCGCCTCCAGGGGGAGAAACTTCCTTCCTTCCCCTTAAACAAGGCAGACCCTGGTCTCCACCTCCAGGCCCACGCGCTTTCTACTGCACCTGCTTCAAGACCTTCCTCTGCTATGCAGGAGACGGTTCAAGGGTGTCGCCAGACACTTGCTCCACCCCGACGTGTACTCTAGACCCTTCCAAACGGATCAGAGGTGGGAAGTGGGGTCAGGGCTGGTGGAAGGAGCCATAGAGCTGGAGAGCTTTGCTTGGGGTGTCTCGCGATCCCTCCAACCTGTGTACTTAACGAGCGGCGATCTAGCCACGTGCTCTTTCTACAATCAGCGAGCACTTACTGTACACAAGGCCCTTGGAGTTGTGGACGCAAGAGTGACCCAATGTGTCTGTGTTCACAGCCCAGTGTGGGAGAAGCACGCACAGAGCTGCCCATCACACACGGGAAAATCACGCCACAGAAATGGACCCGGAGAGGAGCAGTTCACTCCTTCTGAGAGGGGTGGAGAGACTCCACAGAGGAGAACTCGCCTGCATCCAGCCAAGACTGCACAAGCTGGCCGGTCTCCACCGTGAAGGGCCTCGTCAGCCACCCACGTTCACCTTGGTCCTGCTCAACCTAGCAACGGGGAGGCCTAAGGAACTTTAGGAAGGGGAATAACATAATCTAGAGAGGGCTCTGGTGGCAGTGTGCAACGTAAACGGAAGGGCAGGGAGAGCCCAGAGGTGGAGTAAGCAGCTGAGAGGCTGCTGTGATACCTCAGGGAAGGGGGGATGTGGCCGTGAGGATGGCGAAGCAAGGCCCGACCTGAGACTTGTGAGTGACACAGGCTGTCTGCACGTGTGTGCGTGTGCGTGCACGCGCGTGTGGTTCGTGCTGGGCACGGTGGTGAGTGCATGCTGGTCCCACTGACCCTGCAAGCAGAATGTGCTACGGGGCAGACGTCCCGCAGGCAGCTAGTGCCTGGGGCGCACGGGGCGGGCCCGCTCACAGCACAGAGGGCGAGGGCCTCAAACATCTGGACCTGTGGGCGTAGGGAGCCCTGCCAAGGAGAAAAGGCATCTGTACAACGCAAGTCCGGGGAGCACCCTGGGGGCGGCCACCATCGGGACGGCAAAGACAGGCTGCGGGTGGGGCCGGCAAGGCTCTGTAACTCCAGGGGTCTCGCCAAGGGGTCAGGGCAGTGGGGGCATGGCCCCCGGTGACCGCTGGGCGGGGTCAGGGACAGCTGGGTCCAGAGGGCGGGAGGGGAGCAGGGGCACAGGAAGGCGCACACGGTGTGCAGAAGAGCCAGGTACACAGAGAGATCGTCTCAGCCGTTACCAGCTAAAGCAGGAAGTTAGAAATGGTCCCGCCAAAACATCCAGCCGTTAGGGTGCCACTTGCTTTGCCTCTGGCGCCTGGAGCGTCTCCATTTGGGGCAAAATCCTTGCTCACTGTGGAAAACCAATTAAATTTCTAATAAAGCAGATAAACTAGCTAACCTCTGAACTGGAGGGAAATATTCAGTTACACGGTGACACCAGTCAGAGGCATTTTCCAGAAGGATTTAAGTGGTGCCACTCACAGGACCAGCCGCAGGAGCTGAGCCCGACCGCCCCGCGGGTCCAGACGCCCTGCTGGACGTGCCGCCCTCGGACTCGGCCTCCGAGGAGGACGCAGCCTCACCGCAGACGTGAAACCTCAGCCTGACCAGGAGGAAACATCAGCCTTTAGAGAACACCCCTCAGCTCCACGTCACGGAGGCTCTGGAACACAGGGGCCTATACCCTGTCGCAGAAGACAGCGCGGGGCTGAGGAGCTGTCCCAGGAGAGAGGCACACAGACACGCTGAGCGGTGTCAGGGGCCACGTGAGCCCCAGGCTGTCTCCAGCCAGAGGGAGAAGCATTACTGGGGTGACTGGTGAACCCAGACCACCACCTGCTGAGAGATGAGCACACTGGCCAGTGTTAAATTCCAGGATGCGGTGACCGTGCAGGGTAAGAGTATGGCCCGTTATTCGAAAACACAAACGCAAATGCTAAAGGTAAGAGGGCGAGATGCGCACAACCAGCCCCCAGGTGGCTCTGGAGAAGTAAAGCTTGCGCGTGCAGAGAGAGGACGCAAAGGGCTCAGACGGGGAAGGCGGCGCAATCAGGGCGAGGGTGCTTGCAAGTTCTTGGTGCTGTTCTCAGAGCTTTTCCTCAAGTTTGAAATCATTTCACAGTAAAAACTAAGAAAACGAAAACAAACAGATTGCCTGCTGGGGGAAGGACAGATCACGCACCCTGTGAGAGAAAGCAGGAAAGTGGACGCTGGAGCTGGAAGGGCGAGGCGTGGGAAGTGAGCTGGGCTGGGTGCAGACCCCAACGCTAAGCCTATTTACTGGCTACAAGGAATGTTTATATCGCTGCTTTAAGTGGAAAATCAAGGTCACTTGCAAACTCGAAATTTTCCAGAGGCATTCGAGGAAGGAGGGCAGGATGCCACAGCCTCCGTCCTCGCTCTGGAGGGTTCCAAGCAGCAGCAGCCCCAATCCTGCGCTCCCCACCTGTCCTCACGGACGCCCCGTCCTTCAGGTCGGGACCCCACACGCGGTGCGGTGGCTCCACACAGCTCTGAAGATGGACGGCCAGTCGCCGGCGTCCCGACCTGGGGCCCGGCCAGGAGGTCACGCCTGCAGAGCACGCGCTGTGCTCCCCCCGCCACGCTGCCCTCTGGATGAGGCCCTACCTCTCGGTGGGTGCTGGCGGGCAGGACGGGAATGGTCTCATCCACGGTGGCCAACAGCGTCCTCAGGGCCAAGCCGACTTCCTGACAGACAGGAACACACCCAGTGTTAGGACGCACGTCAAGGAGTTTCATGCCAGCAATGACAGTGTTTCCTTCCAGTTACATGGTTTTTCATTTCCTTTTCACCACTTTCGGGAAAATTTCTTTTTCTTTCTTTTTTTAGGAAAATTTCTGTATTTCTTTTCCACAGTGCTGAGCCTGATCTCATTAAGTTATGAGGCAATTTCCCCCAGATTCAGATCTCTCTGATCTACTCATGCTCTACTGTCTGGGGAACAGGGGAATGGAGGCTCATGTATGAAAAGCCGCCCGGACGCCCAGGGAAGGCGGCGCTGGGGCTGCGTGTGCTCCGTGACTCTCTTCCCTCCCCAGTGCTTTCCAAAGCCTCGTGGGCCACCAAAAAGGATGTTACTGCTACCACATGTGGGAACGACAGGTGGCAGTCTGCTACGGAGGCCATTCTGACCCCGGAGCTTCGTCCACTATGTACACGGAGCACAACAGCCCTCCCCCTGCCACTCGGAGCTTAAAGGGACCAGCTGTGGTTAAAAACGATATGACGTTAGAGTTAAAATGTCTGTCGCTGTCATTCTTATGAGGGTCAACTACGTAATGACTCAGATGCCAAGTTATACATGCAGTAGGTATAAGACCAGTAAGGACATGCTAGTTATTGACACTGGATCAACAAAAAGAGTGTCGTTTTGCCAAAGTAATACGGTTAAAAAAGCAGCTTCTAGAAAACCACCATAAAAAGTCTTATCATGTACAAAATTCTGGTTGCTTTTGTATATTGTTGAGTTTATTAGTATTTTTTAAAAACCCGTCTGTGGTTCATGCAAGTTCACCCTTAAGAGCTTTGGTTGTAAGTGTTATGGGAGCACAGCCTAAAGACGGAACCAGAATGGATTAACTGTGCTGCCCATAAAACATCACAGCTTCCAAGCAGCTGCCCCACACTGATGGTTTGAAAGAAGCTGTCCCAGAGACTGCTCATTGGTACTAAAAATGGGGCTCAATGCTGCAACCCAACGACAAAAAGCCAAACAACCCTATTAAAAAGTGGGCAAGCGACTTGAACAGACATTTCTCCAAAGACGACACACAAATGGCCAACACAAAAAAGCACACGAAGAGATGTTCAACCTCACTACTCATCAGGGAAATGCAAATCAAAAGCCCAGTGAGATACCACTTCACACATATAAGGATGGCTACTATCGAGAAAAAACAAAACCGAAAATAAAAAGTGTTAGTGAGGATGGAGAAAAACTAGATAGAACCCTTGTGCACTGCTGGTGGGAATGTAAATTGCTGCAGCCATTGTGGGAAACAGCATGGTGTGTCCTCAAAAAATTAGGACTAGAACTAGCATACGATCCAGCAATTCCACTTCTGAGTTAATGCCCAAAAGACTGAAAGCAGGGTCTCCAAGTATCATCTGTCTTGGCACTTTAACACTGTAATTACCTCCCCTAAGTCACAATGGCATCAGACTGTAAGTACTCTTCTGCACCTTTTCTCACTCAAGATCATATGTATGAGCAGTAGTTGTTGACAGACTCTGTTGCTCAGGACATTCCAGGGTCAAGGTCGGGAATGGCAGTGATCCCCATGCGATGCAGACCTTCTGAAGAGTCAGGCTGGACCCGAAGGGCACAGGGAATGTCTCCTGCTTCACGTGAGGGGGCTGAGCTCACCTTCACCATGGGGACATACTCCTCTGGCGGGGCTGGCTGGATCTTGCTGGACATCTCGATGACCGCTCTCACCAGGCCCGTCACGTTCTCGTACACCCTGTCATTGGACCGGTCCAGGTTGGCAGTGGGAGGGGGGCTGATTTCCTGGGGCTGAAGCTGCCAACACAGAAGCCGGTTATCTTTCTATCCTCCAGCAGATGGCGTCATATCACTGCAACTAGGTTAGAAAGGGTCTTTAAAAGAGATCAAAGCAGATCACATAACTGATCTTGTCTTAGGGGACATAGTTCAGCTTGAGGATGACCGCAAAGCAATTCATCCAAGTGACAAATAAATAAGGCACCTTTTTTTCTAACTTTGAGCTCAGTTAAAGGAAATGAGATGGAATCACACATATTATACTAAAAGCCCAGGATTCATTCAGAGAAGTGATTCATCGTCCCCCCAGAATCATTCACCAAAAGAGAAGAATCCAGATATTTTACACCTCTCTGAGGATTTAGAGACAGCTGGCTAAGGGGTCCAGTGTTCTACACTGAGACTGTAAGAATTGCCACTTAGTTTGAATTTTGCAGTAAAACCTGTATGGCTCAGCTTAGTTGCCTTCAAACCACCTAATGGAAACGTGTGTTCCTTTTATGGTTATAAAAAGTGGGCAAATGCAAGTCTTCTTTACATGGACACCACCTGCTTCCAGAATGCTGCTGAGGTGGGAGCTGTGCGGGTGCAGCTCTGTTGGTGGGGGGCGGGCACTGCCCCCTCACCTGCAGCTGTGATGGGGGTGAAATGAAGGAACATATGTAAAACGGCCCGTCTCAGGGCCTGGGCACAGAGAGACTTCAACAGATGTTATCCAAGACAACACGTGAGCCCTGAAGGCTGCACAAGGGCCTCTAGGGAACCTTCAGCGTATTTAAAAAGTCGAACTGGCCACCCCAGGCACAAAAAGGACTGCGTATGGCCACTCTGAGAAGACTGAATGCCGGCACCCACTGAGACTGCCAGTGCTCAGTGTCTAACTCTGGGTGCCCATCCCTAAGCCATGAGACACAAGGGACGAGAACGTCCCATCACTGCACAGATGCTCACGTCTCACTCTTGGGCAAATATAAATGCTGCTTTTGGTGACAAACCAAGCAAAAGCGCCCTCCCCAGGCTTCCCGATTCCTGGTCCAGAGTCGCACGCGGAGCGGGGTGTGATAGAGAGCTGGACAGACACACAGATACCATGTGCTTACCCTCCACGGCTATTGTCGAACGGAAGGTGAGGACAAGTTAAAGGAATTTATCAGAGAAAGGGAAAAAAGAAAAACAATATTAATAAAGGCAGCAGACAAAACCCCCGTAAAAACACACGAGCAGAACAAGAGGAGTGAGCTTCCGCCTGTCGGCTCCGTCAGCGGCCATCAAAGTGCAGCCGCTGGGCCGTCTGTTCAGGGCACCCGCATACTCAGTAGGGGTCTGCCATGCACCATGCTCGTTTTCACAAATAAATGAGGAAAACAACATGCAAAGCCCGAGAATGACAATCTGGCAGCCGTGCAAGAATCCAAAGAATTAAGGGTCTTTAAAAAGAAAGAAAGCGTATCTATGCTTGTATTCACAGAAAGCTGCCCACTGGACATCTGAGTGATTCTGGAGAAACTGCACACCCTCACTCCCTGGGCCTGGCCCCAACATCCAGCATCCCTGGAAATGGCCTTCGACCTAGCCAGCCTGCTGTAATGCAGATGCCTGGCTTGAGGCTGTGTTTAAAGGTATCAGGAGCTTACTCTAAAAACAAAAACAAAACGAAAACATAAAACCCTTCACTTGAACCAGTTCTTATGGTTGGGTTCCCTTACTTTAAACTTAGAAACTTTAATGTTTTTTTTTTTTTCTCTACAGTTTAAACCAAGCCTATTCTACTGTAACATAATAGGCAAAGTTAACTGAGAGAAATATGGATTTCTTGACCTTTCCTTAGAATTGTCTGAAAAAAGTATACCCTTTGGTATAGAAGTTTAGCAGAGCCCTAAGTTCTGAGGTCCAACCCTCCACACTGTGTATTTTCTGTGCACTAGAAAAAGGGAGGTTATTCATAGCAGCATCACTTCCAAGAGAAGCCGTGTCAGCATTTTATCTTCTGCACTGAGATGCTGAATGGGGCAGGAGGGCCAGTTCAAAGGGGATCAACGTAAAAGGCCGCATTTCCTCAGGAGGCGTGCCAGCTGGGGCTCCATCAGGAAGAACTACAGTTCTTGACTCCAGGAGGTGAGGGTGTTTGTTCTAACCTGTTCAAAGCTTCTGCTCTTTTGTGTTCACCCTTCACCCAACTGTCACAGAAACGCTGGCACAAAGCTTCCAGGGGCCATTCACAGGGACCCTCCCAAAGCACCAGCCTGGTGTGCAGAGACAGCTGTCACTGGTTTCCTACTTTCTGGAGCTTGACCACTTGGAGGCCCCTTGGCAGGCAGTTAGACACACCACTGCCCGCAGAGATACAGCCAATCCCAACCACTTGGGGTGGGGGGGTTCCTCAAAAACTCCGATAATTCAGAGCCGAAACATAAAGCCACCAGAGAAACTGAGACTGATCTCTGGCTATGAGCTGGACGAATTACTTCAGTTACACCCAGGTAAAGGTAAGCATTTCTGTATTAAAAGAGTACTGTTCTTTCAGGCTGGATTTGATAACCTCTACCAAACAGACATGTCACGAAGAAGCAGAGACATATACTTCACACTTACTAATTATTCAAAAATGTTTACTGATTGTATTTTTTTTTTTTTTTTTTTTTGGCCGTGTTGGGTCTTCATTGCTGTGCGCAGGCTTTTCTCTAGTTGCAGCGAGTGGGGGCTACTTTTCGTTGCAGTGTGCGGGTTCTCACTGTGGTGGCTTCTCTTGTTGTGGAGCACAGGCTCTAGGCATACGGGCTTCAGTAGTTGCAGCATGCAGGCTCAGCAGTTGTGGCTCACGGGCTCTAGAGTGCAGCTCAGTAGTTGTGGCGCACGGGCTTAGCTGCTCTGCGGCATGTGGGATCTTCCCGGACCAGGGATCGAACCCGTGTCCCCTGCATTGGCAGGTGGATTCTTAACCACTGTGCCACCTGGGAAGTCCCCTGAGTGTATTTTTAAAAAATATTTATTTATTTATTTGGCTGCGTGGGGTCTTAATTGCGGTGCACAGGCTCTTTGTTGCAGCGCACGGGCTTCTCTCTAGTTGTGGTGCACAGGCTCACCAGTTGCGGTGCGCGGGCTCTAGAGCATGGGCTTAGTTGCCCTGCAGCATGTGGGATCTTAGTTCCCCTACCAGGGATCGAACCCGCGTCCCTGCATTGGAAGGCAGATTCTTAACCACTGGACTGCCAGGGAAGTCCCCTCCTGAGTGTACTTTAAGTAAGCACACTTAAAAGATTCCTTTCCATAAAGATTTCTACTTGCTCAATACCCTACAATAAGGGTATTTCCCAATTATATTTATTCAAATGTAAAAAATGAATATAGGTCAGAATTCTAAGCCGGTATCTGATCCGCTTTTAAAGTTGGCTTTTCACTGCAATACAAGCCCTTTTCAAAGGTTCTTCTTTTGCTTATGAAAAATGAAAAAAAGTTCATTAACCCAATTTCTCTTTCCTTTTAAAATTTATGTCAAGAAACCACACTGGGAAAGGGTGTGTCCTCCGTTGCTCCTCTGTGGTGCTACTGGAGCTGCAAGGAGGCTTCTTGGGCCTGGAGGCCCAGAAGCTGGGGGAGCCAAGCCCCAGGCAGCCCCCAGGACCAGCACCCTGGTTTCCAGGAGCTGACTGCCTGACCCTTGGTGCAGGGGCGCCTCTGGCACCGTGGTTCCTGTGTTAGGCTCCGCAGGGAGCAGGCTGGACCCAGACGGTGCCAGCTGCTTCACTACTGGTCACCGCCCTCCAGCTGTAGGCTGGCTCGCAACTGGAGATGACATTTTCTCTGCCTGGGGACAACCTCTCTGATTCGCTAAGGTGGCAATACATCTGCTTCTATCCAGGAATCAGCCGCTTGGCTTTGGGGGTAAGCCTGGAGCAGCAGCACATATGTGTGTGTGGAAAGCCAAGTCTGCCACTAAATGCTGGTTCAGCTATGGGGAGGCCGTAACCTCAAACACGCCCTTTAACCTCTGGGAACTGTAGCGGCCTCATGTGACAGGTGGGAACAATAATAAGCCCACCAATTCCGCGAGGCTGATGTGAGGATTTGAAATACATGGGGCAGGTTCTGCCACAGCAGGTGGCACTCAATGAATGGTGGTTATTAGTGAAGCAAAGTTTATCTTAACTGATCCCATAGCTATTGAATTCTAAGATGTACCTTTTTCTATGCACCACGAAGAAGGGAAAAAAATGCCAGTTAAATCAACACACCCTCTTGATTTTAGAGATATTAAAATGTGAAGACAGGGACTTCCCTGGTCGCGCAGTGGTTAAGAATCTGCCTGCCAATGCAGGGGACACGGGTTCCATCCCTGGTCTGGGAAGATCCCACATGCCACGGAGCAACTAAGCCTGTGAGCCACAACTACTAAGCCTGCACTCTAGAGCCCGTGAGCCACAACTACTGAACCTGCGTGCCACAATTACTGAAGCCCACGCGCCTAGAGCCCATGCTCCGCAACAAGAGAAGCCACCGCAATGCGAAGCCTGCACACAGCAATGAAGAGTAGCCCCTGCTCGCCGAAACTAGAGAAAGCCCGCGCGCAGCATCGAAGACCCAATGCAGCCAAAGATAAATAAATAAATAAATAAATAAATAAAATAAAATGTGAAGACAAAGTGTATCAGAATTGAGAAGTAGGACATATTTTGAGAGATAACTGACCTAATGGAGAGTAGAGGGTATCCCTCTCCTTCAAAGGGCACACAGAAGAGGAGGCTGTGGTCCCCAGCACATGCTGCTTTACACACGCTGGCCCCAGATGGCAAAGGATGGAAGTCGCCCACTAGGCCACACTGACACACTCAGAGACAGTGAGCCTACAGAAGGCCTTGCTTTCCCCAGGCGTCCTGGTTTGATTCATTTGTAAAACCAGAAGCCACCCCAGCACTTTTATCTCAAAGAAACATTCTGTCTGGTAAGAGGAAAATGTCTTCAGAAAGTTAAGATCTGACTGAGGCCCTAGAATCTATCACATGAGAGAAAAACAGAAAAGAGAATTTTCCAGTAAAGTCTGTCCTGACTCAGAGGAGTCTGGAGCCGACCAAGGAGCCCCCCAATCCCACCGAGCCCCAACCCCACTGCACATCGCAGGGTCATCGCCCAGAGTGAAAGGCTCCGTGGGGTCCTGGGCTGCGCACAGGCTTGGGCGCTCACCTTGACACCCTCGTTGTAATTGTCCCCGGGGCTGCCGAGGCTGGCGAGGCTGCTCAGGTGCCCAGAGGCTCCGGGACGCGGTGGTTTCTTTGGTGGAGCTGCAGGATCTGGTAAAGGAATGAATCCCATTACTCAACGTACATTAATGAAGAGAATGGAGACAACCCCCAAACAAACAAACACGGATTCATGTTATTACAACAGAAGCTAATCTCAGAGAGGGCTCCCTACAGAGGTGTTTCTGCTGCATTAGAGCAGTAAAGTCTGTTTTCCAACATTCTAGTCGTGGGCTGAATTTGGTAAACATCATACTTGCTATGGTCTGTAGGGGGAAGAGTGTTAACACAACATGAAGTTTTTCAAAACTAAGAAACTATACATCAAAACCCCCTCCCTCCAAATTATACAAATTTTGTGACACTCGATTCATTTCTTCATTTACCTGGTTTGCCCACAGGCTGATATATGTGCTGGTTTCCAGTCTGTGGGAAAAGAAAAAGCCAGGTCAATGCAGCAGGGCGCACAACAGGATAACGGCCTCCCCTTCCCACCCTCTCCACCCACCCCCTTGACCCCTGGGCTAAACGCTGGGGTCAAAGACCAACAAGACGGGGGAGGGGCCAGCCTTCAAGGCCTCAGGTGGGGGACAGGGGATTAGATTAGGCTAATAAGCAAATAATGCCAATGGGGTATGGGATAAGGGCTGCCATAGGAGGAATCACGATTGGAACACAGTCAGGGGTGGTCACACCAATTTCAAATTTTCTTTAAAGAAATTATGCCCATGGAGGTCTCCAGTTCAACTTCATGGGTGTGAAATCTGTCCTGTGTCCGGAAACTCTCCCCCACCCCCTCCTTCTCTGATTACAAGAAGGAGTGCCATCAGGGACAATGACAACGAGAAGAGGCTTCCGAGCACTGGGATGTCTACGTTGTCACTCTCACCTGAAGAACCTGGTGTGACACCTCCATCCGTTCTGGACCAGCCACAGGCCAAGCCAGGAAGCCAAACCAGCCCAGGCACAGGGAAAAAGGCAGGTTCACATAGGACCAGCCCTAGTCTAGGGTGCCACGCCTGCAGCTATGATGAGAGCCACTTATCCTAGGCTGACTGAATGAAAAGAAGTATCCTACTTTTGAAAGGAGGGACTTCCCTTGCTTATTTTAAAACAATAAACTGGCTGAAACACATATACTTCAAGGTGCTTTACTTTTACTGAGTAGACATCCACTTCTTTAAAATAAAGGACCATGAGACAGCGCACAGTCACAACTGCTCCTTGCCCAGGATCACGGCTGCCTCCACCAGGCCACTGAACGCTCCCGATTTTAAAGACTAGAAAAACCCTCTGAGCAGGAAGGTGTGAGGAACAGGCTTCCTTGACACAGTGGGAAGTGGGCCAAAACCTTGCAAAGAGACAGGCTGTGGCTGTGCTGTGTTGTGCTCACTGACCAGCAGTAAAAAGACTTAAAGAATTTCCTGATACTCAGGGAACAAGAAAGTGCGATAATTAGAAAATCCTATTCTCAGAACTTTCTGGATCAGTTCAACAGATGTTATGTATGTCCCTGTGCGCAGAGGCTGATGGGCTGGGCAGTGGGACGGGCCGGGCTCTGGTTCTGCTGCGTGTGCAGTGCTGGCCTTGGAGGAGTGACTCACTCACCGGTTTGAGGCTTTGGTTTTCCCATTTGAACACGGAGGCTAGTAACACTTACCCCCTATGGGGGAGTTGTCACAAAATGAACATGCTGCCAACTTGAATATTATTTTGAAAATCTAAATAGTTTTTATTTTTACTTTTTATGCACACAGACAGGATCAATTTCCATGAGGCAGTGACTAGTGTCTATTAACTAGCCCAGACCTACTGACAGTCTACACTGCTTTCCAGCCAAACGCTTCTCCCTGAAACTGGGGCCCATTTTCAAAAGTGTTAAGTTGGAGCACTTGGAGAAGTGGGCCAAACCATACAGTTATCTTAGCAAAGCACAGAAGCAGAAGAGCCAGCAACCGTCAGTGTGTGTTATGAGCCCCACAGCTTAACCCAGACCCTGGAGGGGAGAGGCCTGCAGAGCAGGCTGGCGCCTGGTCACGCTCTGAGTGCCCTGTCCGGCGTCCGGCATGGGGACCAGTGACCTTGGGCAAGTTTCCTACGAGCCTCAGTTGACTCATTTGTGGCGTGTGGATGGCACGGCGCCTGACCTGACAGGAGTGCTGAGGACTTATGAGGTGACAGGAGGGAAGCACCCAGCGCAGCACCTGCTCCATCAGGACTAAGCGCTCCTACTGTCACCCAGGCCTGGTGTGTGGCAAGTACTATGAGATCACAAGCGGCCCCGTCATGCGTCGTCTGTTTCACAAAGTGTTTCTCAATAATCCTTCCGTCTCATCATTCATTCATTCATTCATTCACTCCACATACGTTCTGGGTACCTTCTACATGCCACATCTTGTAACAGGATTTTCCTTTTCTAAAAAATGTTCCTATTAGTGATGTTATAAATAGCTGGTTCCTTGAATAGGGTTTACTTTCATGCTTATTCTCACTCTTTCCTCTTAACAATTTGGGACCAACTGCTCAATACGTTATCATTTTATTAACTGAAGAAGTCTTGGGCTTCCCTGGTGGCGCAGTGGTTGAGAGTCTGCCTGCCGATGCAGGGCACACTGGTTCGCACCCCGGTCTGGGAAGATCCCACATGCCGCGGAGTGGCTGGGCCCGTGAGCCATGGCAGCTGAGCCTGCGCGTCCGGAGCCTGTGCTCCGCAACGGGAGAGGCCACAACAGTGAGAGGCCCGTGTATCGCAAAAAAAAAACAAAAAAAAGAAGTCTTGATGCACACTGTAAGTTACAGGTGTACAGTATAGTGATTCACAATTTTTAAAGGTTATGCTCCATTTGTAGTTATTATAAAATATTGGCTATATTCACTGTGTTCTACAATACGTCCTTGCGGCTGATTTTTTTTGGCTGCACCGTGCGACTGGCGGGATCTTAGTTTCCTGATGAGGAATTGAACCCGGGCCCTAGCAGTGAAAGCGCCAAGTTCTAACCACTGCATCGCCAGGGAATTCCCACTGTAGCTGATTTTATACAAAATAGTTTATACCTCTTACTCTCCTACCCTTGTATTGCCCCTCTCCACTGTTAACCACTAGTTTGTCCTCTATATCTGAGTCTTTTCGTTATATGCAGTAGTTTGTAAGTGATACTATACAATATTTGTTTTCTGACTTATTCACTTAGCACAATACCCTCCAAGTCCATCCATGTTGCTGCAAATGACAAAACTTCATTTTTTATGGCTAAGTAGTATTCCATTGTATATATACACCACAGCTTCTTTATCCATTCATCTGTTGATGAACTTGGGTTGTTTCCATACCTTGGCAATTATAAATAATGCTGCTATGAACACTGGAGTGCATGTATCTTTTCAAATTAATGTTTCTGGTTTTTTTCGGATATATGCCCAGGAGTGGGATTGCTAAATCATATGGTAGTTCTATTTTTAGTTTTTTGAGACCTCCATACTGTTTTCCACAGTGGCTTCACCAATTTACATTCCCATCAGTGTACAAGGGTTCCCCTTTCTCCACATCCTCACCAACATTTGTTATTTGTGTTCTTTTCGATAATGGCCATTCTGACCAGTCTGAGGTGATATCTTACTGGGCTTTTGATTTGCATTTCTCTGATGATTAGCCATGTTGAGCATCTTTTCATGTGTCTGTTGGCCATCTGTATTTCCTCTTTGGAAAAATGTCTATTCAGGTCTTCTGTCCATTTCTTAATTGGGTTGCTTTGTTTTTTCTGACATTGAGTTGTATGAGCTGTTTATATATTTTGTATATTAACCCCATATCGGTCATATCACCTGCAAATATTTTCTCCCATTCAGTAGGTTGTCTTTCATTTTGTCAATGGTTTCCTTTGCTGTGCAAAAGCTTTTAAGTTTAATTTGGTCCCATTTCTTTATATTTGCTTTTATTTCCTTTGCTTTAGGAGACAGATCAAAAAAATATTGCTATGGTTTATGTCAAAGAGTGTTCTGCCTATGTTTTCCTCTAAGAGTTGTATGGTTTCTGGTGTTATATTTAGGTCTCTTAAAAATCTTTAAAAACTTTAGAAATTTTTTTGTTTCCTTTTGTTTCCGATCTTAAAGTCTTTAATCCATTTTCAGTTTATTTTTGCATATGGTGTTGGAGAATGTTCTAATTTCATTCTTTACGTGTAGCTATCCAGTTGTCCCAGCACCACTTACTGAAGAGACTGTCTTTTCTCCATTGTATATTCTTGCCTCCTCTGTCATACCTTAATTGATCATAAGTGCGTGGGTTTATTTCCAGGCTCTCTATTCTGTTCCATTGATCTATATGTCTGTTTTTGTGCCAGTACCTTACTGTTTTGATTACTATAGCTTTGTAGTATAGTCTGAGGTCAGGGAGAGTGATTCTTTCAGCTCTGTTCTTCTTTCTCAAGATTGTTGTGGCTATTTGGGTTCTTTTGTGTTTTCATACATATTTTAAAATTATTTGTTCTAGTTTTGTAAAACATGGTATTAGTATTTTGATAGGGAGTGCACTGAATCTGTAGATTGCCTTGGGTAGTATGGTCATTTTAACAACGTTACTGCTTCCGATCCAAGAACACAGTATATCTTTCCATCCATTTGTGTCCTCTTCAATTTATTTCATCAGTGTCTTCTACTTTTCCAAGAACAGGGCTTCTACTTCTTTAGGTAGGTTTAATCCTAGGTATTTTATTCTTTTTGATGTGATGGTAAATGGGATTGTTTCCTTAACAGGAAACAATGAACAATAGTTCATTCTTAATCTACAGATATGTAACAGATTTCTGTATATTAATTTTGTATCTTGTAACTTTACCGAATTCACTGATGAGCTCTAGTAGTTTTCTGGTGGCATTTTTAGAATTTTCTATGTAAGTATCATGTCATCTGCAAACGGTGACAGTTTTACTTCTTCCTTTCCAATTTGGATTCCTTTTCTTTCTTTTTCTTGTCTGACTGCTGTGGCTAGGACTTCCAATACTATGTTGAATAAAAGTGATGGGAGTCAGCATCCTTGTCTTGTTCCTGATCTTAGAGGGAATGCTTTCAGCTACATGTCATCTTTCCAATATAAAGAGTGAGCACTGCATGTGGAGATGTTAACCGGGGAACAGTGTGATTTTGCACTTGTGGACTAAGGAATGCCTAATATTCTGTCTGTAGAGCCCATTGTGCCAGCATGTCTTATGGGAAATGCCAAACCTTCACATGCTGGCAACTGAACACGTCTTCTAGGGACCAGATATTAGGCGGAGCTGGATTTTAGAGCACAGACTAGGGAAAACTATGCATCTCGGAGCTGGATGACGACACAGTCTAATGTGTGTATGTATGTGTATCCACGTGTGTCTAGAAATGAAATGGTTTATTTCTACTCATAAACCTTATTAGGGTGGATGGAGAGTTATCTCCCTAAGTCCGTTACCCAGCAAGTGCACGTTTCCCCTTTTTACTGGGGATTTCTTTAAGTTTTAAAGAAATCTGCATTTATTTTAACCAGATATCTGCTAACGGAAATCATAACAATTTAAAATACTCTCCCCTGAAGACCAGGGAATATTTCTAGTGGGCTTTAAATATATTTGGAATAATGATAATAAGCTAGGTCTTTAAAGAGAATTTCAGTCATTTCCCCCCACAACACTCAGCAGAAAAAAATCGTGCTTGAACAAGTTTTCTGTGACTGACTGTGGAAACTTTCATAAAACACGAAACAAGAGTATAAAAATTTAGCAGATGACAACTTGCTGTAGCAACAATTTGTGTACGTATTTCTTTAGGACACAGAGAGTTCAGCTTACTATTGAAAAGAGTGTATTAGTAATGGGGTAGAAATTTTTCTACCTAAACACGCATGTTGGGCTGCGTACTGTAAGTTTTAATAATCTTGGCTAAAACGTTGATTTTAGTTATAGAATGAATTATTGTGTTCCATATGACAAATGCTAGCAAGCTTGGATATCCCAGGACACAAAGTGGTCCAGATCCTGATGAGAACGTGGGCGGCTGCTTACCGGGCCCTGAGGACCTCCATCCTCCCTGTCGATGCTGCCTCGAGAGAGCCGCACGTCAGGTTTCTAGAGAAATGAAAGCAAACCGAACAGTTTCATTCTTGGTTTGAAAATCACTGACATATTTCTGTACTAAGTTTCTTCCTTTTGTAACACAATTGTCCTCTGAACAAGAAGAGTTAAAAGTTCCCCAGTTTCACAAAATTCTCAAAGCCCAGTGGTGACAAGCCCAGGTCAGCTGCCCCAGCAAAGCCCCTTTCTCCGCACATGTGTATAGCTAACAGGACTGGCACCTGTGCCCTGACCCCATATGACACATGAAGGTGTGCACTCCACCTCTCCTCCTAGCAGCAAAGCGAGTTTTCTTCACCTAGAAAATCCCCACCCCAGGAGGAGGCACCAATGCCCGCTTCCTGGCACGTTAAGGCTTATATGTACTTGGCTGTCTTGCCAAAGCAGCAAATGGTCCAGTGACAAGTTTTCCCCCGGCACTGCATCCAGAATACAGAAACCAAACAGGAATCTTGACTTCATATAAGTAAGAGTAAATGCATTTCACTAACATAAGATTAACAAAGTAGGCCACATGCTGTCAAGGTGTGGAGCTTGGTAGGTTTTCTCCTCGTGAAAGCAATGCTGTGAGGCGGCCCCAGCCTGCCCCACGATGGCATGGATTTCACGGAGTCCCCAGGAAGCCACACCGACTCCTGCCCCCTGCCCCCGCCAGGCACGCTGGCTGACCGCTCATCTCTTAGACTCTGCCAGTCTGCTGTATCTTACAGACCCTCTATTTGGCAGAGATCAGGCAGTCACAACTTCCTTGTTAGGCAAAGAACGTCTTGACATCTGATTCGTCGTACTTTCTACACCTGAGGAGGGCCCAATGCTGAGGACACCAACCGCAAGCACCTGTCGGGGGTGTTGATGGAGAAACGAGCTTCGTCTCTTTCTTTTAAATGTGTGTTTTCAAAAGTGAAACCATGTCATATAATTCCATAACCTTCATATAATATTATACAGTGGAAATTGGTAAGAACGTTAGAATACTGTATAATATTCCAGAGCATGAATGTTGTCACACACAGAGAAAGGTGGAAACAGCCTGGGCTCTGGCAGTAGCCATCGGGGTTCAGGTCAGCCTCCGCCCTTGCCAGCTGTGTGACCCAGGCCTCAACTTCTTCATCTCTAAGATGGGGCAATAACAGCACCTGCCATGCACTACCCCAATCCTTGTCAGGATTAAACGAGTTAATATTGGCAAAATACTGAGTCACTGCCATGTACGTGTCAAGTAGAATAAACAGTTATCCTGCTGTTTGTTGAACATTTGGGCCATTTTCAAAATTTCAACTGTATAAGTAGGCTGTGGGTAAACATCTTTGTACACAAATCTTTGACTAAATTCCTGATTAGTTCCTGGGGACAGATTTCTAAGAACTGAATTACTGAGTCACAGGGTTTAAACATCTGAGAAATTGAGCGTATCAGCCGCCACGCTGGTCCTGCCTTGGTCCGCGATGGACTTGCCCCAGCGCTGCTGGACTTCACTTAGAACTTGCAGTCAATCAATAAACAAAATGCCCCTCCCCCTTCCTTAAGTAGTAGAACGTCTCTGTTTTGTCTCACAGATGCTAAGCTGCCTTGGACAAGGTTCACCTCTCCTAACCCATTTCCTCACCCACACAGTTATTATAAGGATTAAGTAAGTGCTTGGCACAGAAATGTGCACATACGAGATGGTTAGTAAATATGTGCTGAAGGAATGCATTAATAAAAATGCAAAGGAGAAAAGATTTTACAGAGGAGGAACGTGAAGCTTAGAAAGGCAGAACCGGTTGCTACAGGCGACACGAGCTGGATTCAATCAGGCAACAAATATTTAGTATCTTCTATGTGCGGAAAATATTTTATTTACGTTTTTACTTAAACAAAAGCTGTTCATATATTGTTTGCTTATAGAGTAAGGTGCTGGGTTTCATGTATTTACATGAATTATCTATTTTTACTTTCATATAAAATACATGAAATGGCTTATTTTTCTTTATGCACAACAACTCCCCAATGATATACTTTTCCAAAGACAGAGTTTCAATCTTTTTTTTTTTTTTTTTTTTTTGCGGTACACGGGCCTCTCACTGTTGTGGCCTCTCCCGCTGCGGAGCACAGGCTCCGGACGCGCAGGCTCAGCGGCCATGGCTCACGGGCCCAGCCGCTCTGCGGCATGTGGGATCTTCCTGGACCGGGGCACGAACCCGTGTCCCCTGCATCAGCAGGCGGCCTCTCAACCACGGCGCCACCAGGGAAGCCCCAGCGTTTCTATCTTAAAGGAGGCCTATCTATGTAAAGTCCACTTGTGTTCCATGAATAGAAATATTTAAGCGTTTTCCTCATATAGTCGACAGAGCCTGTCTGCATAAAAGTGTCATGCTGGGAACTAAAGAGCGATCTAGCCAAAGACAGCCTGTCAAAAAGAAGAGATTCTATTATTGTTTCTGCTACTGGGTGAAGCTAAATTCTCCTGTTTTCCCCTTACAGAATATTCTAGATCTCTAGCCCTCTGGGACCCACAACCAGCTGCCCCAGTACCCAGCCCCTCTTATCAGCAGGCTGGCAGCCACTGGACAAGGCAGGGCCAGGCAGCCAACAGGGCTGGGCCAGCCTCACCTACCAGCTGCCCACGGTAGCTGGCCCAGCCACAGCAGAAGGACCCACACAACCCACACATGGGACAAAAGCATACAGCTCTGGTGACCAAAGGGGAGGGTGCTGCTGCATTCCACAGGATGTCTCTTACATAAGGCCACTTCTCAAAGATTGAAAAAATGTAACTGACCCTTCCTAATACACAGAGATAAACACAGACAATTAGGCAAAATGAGGAGACAGAGGAATTCCAAATAAAAGAATAAGACAAAACCCCAGAAGAAGAACTAAGCAAAGTGGAGATATGCAATCTACGGAAGAAAGAGTGCAAGGTAATGATCATAAAGACGGTCAACAAACTTGCGAGAAGAATGGGTGAACACAGTGAGAGTTTAACAAAGAGTTAGAAAATACAAAGAAGCACCCAACAGAGCTGAAAAATACAATAACTGAAAAAATACACTAGAAGGAATCAACAGTAGACTGGATACAGAGGAATGGGGAATGGATCAGTGAACTGGAAGGCAGAGCGGTGGAAATCATCCAAGATAAACAGAAAAAAGAAAAAAAAAAGAGGATAGTTTGAGACCTCTGGGACAACATCAAGCATACTAACATTCAAATTATAGGGGTCCCAAAAGGAGAAAAGAGAAAGGGGTGGAGACCTTATTTGAAAAATACCATAGCTGAAAACTTCCCTAACATGGGAAGGGAAAGAGACATCCAAGTCGAAGTACAGAGAATCCCAAACAAGATGAACCCAAAGAGGTCCACACTAGATACATAAATAAAATGGCAAAAACTAAAGATAAAGAGAGAATCTTAAAACCAGTAAGAGAGAAGCAACTTGTTATGTACAAGAGAACTGCCATAAGACTATCAGTTGACTTTTCAACAGAAACTTTGCAGAGGCCAGGAGTGGAACCATACATTCCAAATAATGAAAGGAAAACACCTACAACCAAGAATACTCTACCCAGCAAGGCTATCATTCAGCTTTGAAGGAGAGATAAAGAGTTTAACAGACAAGCAAAAGTTACGTAAAAGAGTTCAGCACCACAAAACTGGCTTTACAAGAAATGTTAAAGGGACTTCTCTAATCAAAAAAGAAAAGACCATAACTAGAAATATACAAATTATGAAAGGAATTCCCTGGTGGCACAGTGGTTAAGAATCCGCCTGCCAATGCAGAGGACACGGGTTTGAGCCCTGGTCCAGGAAGATCCCCACGGAGCAACTAAGCCCACGTGGCACAACTACTGAGCCTGCGCTCTAGAGCCCATGAGCCACAACTACTGAGCGCACGTGTCACAACTACTGAAGCCTGAGTGCCTGGAGCCCATGCTCCGCAACAAGAGAAGCTACCACAGTGAGCCTGCGCACTGCAAGGAAGAATAGCTCCCGCTTGCCTCAACTAGAGAAAGCCCGCGCAACAACGAAGACCCAATGCAGCCAAAAAAATAAATAAATAAAAGTAATAAAGTTTCCTTTTAAAAAAAAAGTATTAAAACGAACAAACAGGGGCTTCCCTGGTGGCGCTGTGGTTGAGAGTCCACCTGCCGACGCAGGGGACACAGGTTCGTGCCCCGGTCCAGGAAGATCCCACGTGCCGCGGAGCGGCTAGGCCCGTGAGCTATGGCCACTGAGCCTGTGCGTCCAGAGCCTGTGCTCTGCAACAGGAGAGGCCACAACAGTGACAGGCCCGCGTACTGCAAAAAAATAAATAAATTAAAAAAAAAAATAGAACTATCATATAATCCAGTAATTCTAGTTCCAGGTATTTTTCTGAAGAAAACCAAAAAACTGCTTTGAAAAGATATATGCACCCCTACGTTCACTGCAGCATTATTTACCATAGCCAAGATATGGAAGCAACCTAACTTCCCACTTATAGAGGAATGGATAAAGAAGATGTGGTACATATACACACAATGGAATATTAGTCGGCCGTAAAAAAGAATGAAATCTTGCCATTTGCAACAACACAGAGGGTATCATGCAAAGTGAAGTCAGTCAATCGGAGAAAGACAAATACTGTATGATTTCACTTATATGTAGAATCTAAAAAAACAAAAAACAAATAACCTCCCCAAAACCAAATGAACAAACAGAACAGAAACGGACTCACAGATACAGAGAACAGGTGGTTGCCAGAGGGGAGGGGTGGGCGGGATGAGTGAAATAGGTGAGGGAGATTAAGAGGGACAAACTTCCAGTTATAAAATAAATGGGTCAATGAGATGTAATGTACAGTGTGGGAAATGGATTGGCTAATACTGTAATAACTTCGTACGGTGACAGATGTAACCAGACCTACACTGATGATCATTCTGTAATATATAAAAATACTGAATCCCTGTGTTGTACACCTGAAACTAATACAATATTCTAAGTCAATTACACTTCAAAACAAAATATTCTGG